ATTCATTGTCCGGAATCGTGCTCGGTTATATTCCAGATTTTCCATGATGTCGCTTGATTTATTTCGAAATTTGTTCTATCGAAGATAGAAAAATCGATAAGAGTTATATTTAATTGCTTGTTTTTGAAAATATTTAGAAAAATCGTCGAGAGAATGCAGTTTAAAATTTGAATAGTTGTATCTAATACTGTGCAACAGAATTTTCAATAACTGCAGATGAAATTGGAATAATTGTTATAATAATTCGAGATAATCTATAGTAATGAATCTATCTATCAATAAACAATTGTATGTTACGTTGAATGTATTGGCAATTGTAAAACTCTAAATAAAATCATATTCAATAACAAAAATTGCTCGATATTTGCGAAGATATAAAGAATAACGTAAAATTGTATTCCTTTGTTTGTCAAATCTATTGAAATTATCGAGCAATCGTACCAAAATTTCAACGAATCATCGAATGAAAAAGCAGTACGCAAATCGAATAAACAACAATCAAATAAAGTCGTAAAAATATCTCAAAACAATAATTTATTAATTTTATTAATTTTATTAATTTTAACAAATAATAAATTCGCGAGCCTTGTTAAACTGAAAACTAACTTATCACATCCTCCGAGTAGAACCACCAAAATCCAGCCCACGCTTAAACCACCGTGCCCCTTAAACCAGGCTAAATATCGAATCAAAAACTGTCACGACGATTCAGATCTACATTCACAGCAAACAGTAGGTACCTCTTAAAAAGAAGCAGCGCTTCTTCGACAAACCTATTCCACTGGAGAAAAGCAAGGAAACCTATTTATCCCATCCCGATGTTCCAGTAACTCTATATTCGGTCCGATCAGATACGATTGCTAGCCTTGGGCCAGCATAATAAGAAGCGTCGAAGTGTCCAATATTTTCGCACGGCGAACTCGTTCGGATAAGATCGGTACTCCGAAGGCAGTAGCCAAGGAAACAGTATCGTTTGTCTGGAAGAAAGCAACGGTGGCCACACGAAACCTGCTGTCAAAACACAATAAGACGAGACGATCCACGAAAGAAGATCGATTTTTGCCCGTGTCCACCACATGTAATACGAATATTCGCGTGTGAGTGTGTACGTGCTGGCTTAAGTGTGCATATAGCGCGTATAGGCTGAATGTGTATATAGATACCGGTCCATTGTGTGGCGTCGCTAAAATGCTCTTCTCGCGGCGAATAATGGCGATAATTGTGACGAAATGGAGCGTCATTGTGGGAAAAAAGGTACCGTAACGATCGAGGCTGGCGAGAGGAGTAAGTGGCAGATGCATGGCGTTCGATTGACAGCTTCTCCGATTTCTTTCCTCGCGCTCCGATTCGTATTCTTCCTTTAACTTGTCTTTCCTAGCGTAAATCGCTACTCGAGCAAATTTATCCTGTTATTTTGCCACGGGTTTGTTAAACCTAGCACCGAAATGCATTTGTTCAAGTGCATTCTTTTGCTCTTTGTTGTAGATCTAAGGTTAGAAAGCACAGTGTGCACACGCATTCAGCGAAATAGTAATTTTAATTTAGAATAGGAAAAATAAGAAACATAACGTAGGATGCTATCTCGGGGAAAGAAATCGCGAATAGGCCAATGTCAACTCGAAATCCTATTTTAAATAAACAAATTATAAACCGATTTTAAGTGTCCCAACTTTTTGATGCGCCGTAATGCATTGGGGGGCATTTTTACTCCCACCTGAAGATATTGCAATAGCTGCGTGCACATAGGTTTATATTTCGTCTTATTTACGTAAAGCAGTTGGTAATACCTTGGACAAATGTTAGAAATGTATTCGCTCGTGTTGGCAACATTGGTAAGTAAGTTAATTTTTATAAAATTGAGTTAAAACGCAGTAAAATTTCTATGTATCATCGGTCTATTTTATTATCTGAAATCCTGTGCCGCAAAGAGATAGCACAAAGTGACGAAGAGGTATCAAGTGAAACTATGTCGACATATTTTTCAGAAATATTTGTAAGGTTGTGTTTGAAGACTAGCGTAGTAATTTCTTTGATTCCTGCATTATTTCTGTAATTGATTATATATTTCTTCTAGGCTATCCCAAGCTTGGAAGTCCCAATGTATCTACGTTCCAGACTCCATACCTATTACCTAGGAAGTACTATCTATACTATCATTCACTGCCTAAACAATACTTTCGGAGACTAATTTCATAATTACCTTCACCAACAATTCCTTGGAACACGAAAACACAACCAAGCCATATGCAGTCATCAACAATCATCGTCTGAAAGCCAAAAACCTGCAAAACACCGTAAATCTCAACGATCCAACTTAAGCTTACCGAAGTTAAGCGAAACAAAGTCCATTTGCAGGTATATTCCAATTACATTCAACGCACACGCGCGTCCCAATTGATACGAGGCCGTATTTCCGTGGACGATACAGAGAAACGGAAGAACGCGGGAACACGGTAGTAGGGGCGATATCAGAGGCGACTGGTGGGGAGGGTTGCATAGGGGAGAGGGTGAAACGAGGGTTGCGGAGGGGCGCGAGGCTGTTATTTGCAATGAAACGCAACAATTGCAATCGGAGTCGATGCACGCCGTCAGCGTGTCCCGTAAACGCGCCATATTGCAGCTGGGCCGGTCGTGAAAAATAGTGTTTTTGTGCAAGCCGAAACGGCAGATATGAAACCAGCATGGCGGATGCTTACAAATAGTTGCAGGGCGGCGCCTCCATATAAATGCGCGTACCGGTCGGTCTTTCTTTCTCTCCCTCTCCGTCGCTCTCTCCCTTTCTCCCTCTCGTCGCGTCTTTTGTTGCACGGTTCGTGTAACGACGAAAAGGATTCTGCGAACAAGAGGCTGCTCGTTGCTCCACGCAACCGGAGGGAAGCAGAATTCCGTGGCCCTCCCCTTTCGAATTACCCCGCTGACTAAATGGTCGACTCGGAGCTCGGAGTTTTGATCGTTGCTCGAGGTTCTGGAGGAACGGATTCTTTGTTGGGAATGGTCAATTAAGGGAATGGTCTCCTTTCCTTCTTCTTTTTTAATTTAGGTTTCGTCGAGTTTAGCGAGGTTGAAGATAAAGGTGTGACTGCACCGGCGTAGGATTGTCGGGGGTTCATGGATCCCAGGGTCTCATTGGGGTGAGATTTCGGATGTTAATTAGGGTTTCTTGGTTTTGTTCCAATTTTTCGCACGCTACTGAGTGTCTTAGACTCGTGGTGCGTTTAGAGTTGTTATTTGTTACATAGTAAAGTGTTCTTTAGGCTTTGCTTTTGGCACGTTGGAGGGTGTCTTGGACTAGTGCGTGTTTAGAATTGTTATTTGCTATATATAGTCAACATTATATTCGTTATATATAGTAACGTGTTTTTAGGCCTTGAAACCGAATATCTTTTGTTGTGAGATATTTATAATAATTATTATTGCAAAGGAATTGCAAAAATTGTCTTTATAGATGAGTAAAGAAATGATTACTCGAAGAAGTAATACAAAGAAAGCAAATTATTTGCGCTGTAATATTACACAGCAGAATCTGCTTCCATCGAGTAGGCGTAGACTGGAGTTTTAATTAATATTAAAGGAAGAAAATGAAAAGTCATTAGTAAGTATTATTAATTAATACGATCCTTCAAAAATAAAGCTGAATACACGAGTGAAGAATGTTGCATCCTTAGACCTGTTATAAGGCAACGGAAGTAGCAACGTGTGAGCGGAAGTAGAGGTAACGTTCTGAATAGACGTCCAAAGAATGTATAATACTTTCGGAATATACATAACGAAGATCATAAAACCATTTAACTTTTATTCCAGTTTCGAAGCACTAATTAAATCTATTTATTTCGATAATATTTATCTGATAACAGCATCTACTCCAATTTCAAACGATGGTGCACGATAACCACCTCTTCGAATGATTTTCACCCCAAAATCAGAAACTAGTCCAACCACCACAACCATCCAATACAAACCTCAACCCGAACATAAATAATACGATTGAAAAGCTAACCACGATTACCTTCCATCTTCGACTCGAGTCATCCACCATCGGCCAACGAAACCACGACGAAAGAATCCAACGAAATGATTCGATGAAATCCACGTGGAACCCCGTTCCATGTCGAGCCTGGAGAGCGAAAGAAAACGGAATATAACTGAAACATTACTCGCTATTCTTCTCCGAAACGAGTCAACAGGAGGTATACCTTCATAGCCAGCGATTGCCGAGACTCGACGAGGCGGCTATTAACCGAACCCGAGCAAACTAGCGCTACTCGGCAACGCTCGAAGATTCCTGGGGGCGAGAACAACGAGGGGAGGAGGGTTGAAACGCATCGCGTCGTTGCTCTCCGGCCGGTCTACGATCGCCGGCTATGATATCTAGCTTTGTAGCGAAAGATAAGAGACAACGGGAACCCGGTGGCCGGCCAGCATCGGCAAGTCGCGACGCCACCGCCGCCCCCGCGCCGCTAGATTACGGAATTCAGGATCAATATCCATGGTGGTAGGTGTGGCGGATGGCAGAAGGTTCCATCTTCGACCGTCCTCTCGGTGCTTATTGGTTGGAGGATCGGTACCCGGGTTCAGGCCGTAGTGCCTGAAGCTCGTGCCTCGTTCTGGGTAAACGGGCGGAGCTTGCCGTTTCTCCCCTAGGACCTAGTGGGGAGAAGCCATCGGTGCTCTCCTGGCAGACGGCCGAATCGTAAATCATGACCAGTCGGTCGCTCGGAGCGCATCGCGACAAACAGGCTGAAAACCGTTGGAAAACATCGGGCCCGCGATCGATCGACTCGCGACCGGCCGATCTGTAATTTCGTTTCGTCTCGTCGCACTTTCACACGAGTCGTGATTCGTTGCTCGGAGACAGTTGGTGTTTGCGCTGCGATCGTAACAGTGATAAATCGTTTGCTCGATTCCTGTCGACGAATCGTCGGTAAATCGTTACCGGAAGACTGGTACAGGATCGTGAAGTTTGATGTGGGACGTGTACAAGGGATCGAAGTGAGCGATATTTCCGACGAGTTGGAGGATCGCGGGAGGAGGATCGTTGACAGGTCGATCTCTGCGAGTAGCAGCCATGTGTAGTAACGAGAGCCCACCACCAGCGAAGGAACCGCTGGCCGTCGGTTTGGGTAATCCCATGACCGGTTTCCTGCCAGGTCTGGAACACTATCGTCTTCAATTGTACCATTACGCGATGGCAGAGAGGCTGAGGCTAGCTCAGCAGCTGCATCCTCAGCACCCAGGAGTCGGCCACCCGCCTTCCAGTGCTCCGACTCATCTAGGAATGAGTCCAGGATTTCCGGCACCCCTGCCGTTGTATCCGGCGGCGGCTGCTGCGGCCGGATATCCCAGTAGATTGGCGTTATCCATGGCTCTGTTGCATCCTCACCATCAGCGGATACCGGAGGAACCGAAACCACAGCACAGTTACATCGGTCTGATCGCCATGGCTATCCTGTCTTCTCCGGAGAAGAAGCTAGTGCTGTCAGACATCTACCAACATATCCTAGAACACTATCCCTACTTTCGAACCCGTGGTCCAGGTTGGAGGAACTCTATCAGGCATAATTTGTCGTTGAACGACTGTTTCGTGAAATCCGGCAGAAGCGCCAATGGCAAGGGCCATTATTGGGCCATTCACCCTGCCAATCTGGAAGATTTCCGTCGCGGTGACTTCAGGAGACGCAAAGCTCAGAGGAAGGTCCGCAGACACATGGGCCTGGCAGTGGACGAGGAACCGGACAGTCCTAGCCCGCCACCCCTGCCAGCCACCCCGCCTCCACCAGCGACGCTTGGACCACCGGTAGCTTCTCAGCCTATGCCAGGAATCTGGACACCCCATCACCACCATCCTCATCATCAACAGCAGCAGCAACAGCAGCAACAACAGCAGCAGACGTTTCAGAGCCAAACTCTGCGGCAATCCTCGTCGTTTCAGCCGTCGAGAAAGAGGCAGTTCGACGTGGCGTCTCTTCTCGCACCCGACGACCAACACCAAATCGAGTCAGATCTCAGGCCAGTGAAGTCGAGGAGGTTCAGCTGCAGCGAGGACGAGTTGCACGATCTTCCGGAACCTGATCAAGACGAGGAAGACGTGGACGTAGACGTGGTCGCCGAGACGAACGCTC